ACGCTCTCCTATCACTTTCCAAAACCTCTCCTTAAATAGCACTTCTTTCTACCTCATTCGAATACACGCGCGCCAGCTTATTAGCATTATAGCAAGAAGGCGTGCGTGATTAAACGGGACTAAAAGGAAAATTGCTTCAACTAAAAATTAATTTAGTTAAATTAAATTAAACTTCACAAAGTTTAAAGCGTATTATAATTATTTCCTCCAAAAAATTAACTTATTATCCACCAAAACTGTTCTAAAATAAAAGTACCACTGACGACAAACGTCTTCTTAATATACACATTTTAGTTAATTATGACCTGTAGCCACAAAATGGTTGCCGACGCATCATCTGTAAGAGCTCTCCTAAGCTGAATTTCTAAAAACGGCTATATTTATGATGCACTTCCTTTGATAACAGAAAACATAATAAAAATAAAAATGGCATAAATACCGTATTTACTTGAAAAAAAGACTGACTCTATTTTCAATGCCTTTGTTCTTAAATTTGGCACGGTTTTATAACAAGCAATTAAAGTAAATAAATTATATAAGGGAAGGAAAGAGTTTAATTATCGCATTTTATAGAATAATTCCATTCTCTAAGTAATAAATAAGCACCTTGGGTTAAATGCCGTACATAAAAACTGCATATCTAAAAACAATTATAATAGCCACGCCTAGCTGAACGGTTTTTGTATGCACTACATAAACCAATGTAGATATGCATGCACTACATTGGTTTGCTTTTACTTTCTGTATCAAAATGAAATATTGAATTTATTTATTAACTCAAAGACATAGTTTGCACAGAAGGACTATTAATTTCGTTTCGGCATTTTGCGTTGGTTCACTATAAACGGCGTTTCACTATAAACGGCCACCAAATATTAGAGCCCTGAATTATATTGTTACGGATTTTCTATTTAATTTACTATTTCTAGTAGAATTATAATTAAAATTGTTTTATTTCCCCGTGTAATGCAGCGCGTGGCAAGTTTTAAGAGAAAAGCTACGCGAAAAAGTAAAACTACAGGAGTACGCGCATTTGATAATTAGATATCTCCTAATTTTATTCTTTTGCTTTCCAGAATACTCAAGAAAATACCAGAATGTTCTCGTGCATGATTATAAAGCTTATAAAAGCCGGAGAAAAACATCTCAATTCAGTTTTTTATTTAGTTCTGTTATTGATTGTAACGAATTCGCGGTGAGATCAGATTAGCTTTCTCTGTGTTTTGGATCTATTTAGCGTTTTAGTAGTTTAAAATATAACTACTGTGAGATATTGCAATGTTGTACGAATATCTCTGAGGAAATATTTCAGTATTCTCTTTTATTACTTGTGATAAGAATAAATTTTATTAACTTTTTATCGACTTATGCATTCAATCTATTACGAACCCGTACTCACCCAACACTTCTTGGTGGCAACGGTGGGATATTCAATGCCAGTTACAAAAGCGATGGAAGAACAATTAAATCAATTACTAGCAGCCGTTGCTGCGTTCAAAAAAGAGATGAAAACTAGTCAAGAATCAGTAAAAGAACAAATGAAACCTGTTAAAGAGGTGATAAAAGCTGTTGAAAGGAGAGATGAAAGACGCAATGAAAGCGCGCCAAGAGGCGATGAAAGTTTGTCAAGGATCCGTTAAAGAGAGAATGAAAGCCGCCAAAATTCTCTTAAAGAACAAATGAAAGCCTTTCAAGGAAAGATGGAGCAGTTAAAGATGAAATGAAAGTGGGCAAGACGAAATGATAAGAAAAATCACCTGCATAATAGAAAACAAATTTCAGGCTATGGACGGTAGAATAGACTCGGTCAAAAGTAAGATTAGAGAAATTGAAGAAACAGTTTCTTCTGTCAAAGAACAAATAGAAGTGAGAGTTTCTGCTGTGGAGGAACGAATTGAAGGAAGAGTTTCTGCAGTCCAACAATAAATTAAACAACAAAGTTGATAATTTAAAGAAATTCGTAGCGACGGCAAAGAGCAATTCTGATGTCGCCTTTTTGGAGTGCCCGACAGAAATCCTGTCCCTGCAGTACTTCATCGACGGCATCCGGGATCATAAAATAGAAGAGACTCTGCGAATGGCGGATGTAAATGACGTAAAAAGCGGTCTAGCGTACGCCATAAAATTCGAGGACCCAGAAAGGAACTCTTAGAGATCGCTACACAGTCACAGCTGTGCGAGTTCACGAGCCAGTGGATCAATTGATGGCTCGTTTAGAAGATTTATCCAGATACGTCAATGCTTTGATACGGAGTAGATGTGACACTAAAGTGACTTAAGTGTTGGAAATGTGGTATTTTAGGCCATATACGACAGCATTTCAGAATAGCCTGGAGCACGAAAACAAAACAAATGATTTGACAAGACCAGTCAGTGCCTTGAGGTGGAACAAGAGTGAAGTGACACCAATTCTAAAGTGCTGGAACTGCGGTGTGGAAGGCCACATACGAAGGAACTGAAGAACACCTCAGAGCACGGAAAATAAGACAGACAATTAAATGCCATGAGACAAAAAAGGAGTGAGTAGAAACCAAAGTACTGAAACTTTGGCTTCTAGCCTGCAAATATATGTAAGAAAAAAAAAAACTTACCTTTAGTCTTAAAATGAATCAAAATATTTAAAGCAGTATGGGAAATTACTTCTTATTACCTACATTTTCTATATTTAAATCTGATTGCCTGAGACCAATTCATCTAGAAATCAGCAATAAATGAAAAAGCAATCCTGAGAATTAATAGCGCTCAAATGAAAACAACTTTTTTTTAATTTCATTTCATTAATGAGATTCCTGAGAATAGGTTTCTCTAATATAATAGCATTCCCATTTAAGCAAGATGTTTCCATTTTTGAATTAACGTATTTAATTACCTCTATTTTTTAATCTGGAGGAAAAATTTCAAAATATTTGTAAAACGTTAACGACTCTAAACTGAAATCTCCAAAGAGTAAAATGCCATCAGGTTAAGTTTTACGTCATAAAGATTTTAATGTAGGCTAATTAGGCTAATTTTTAACTAAGAAACTAATACTTTTCAAAACTTCGTATTCTTTCAGCTATTATCTTCTATTTTAGTTGCATTTTAATTCTTTTTAGCTTAAAAAAGGGCTATTATTCTCGATATGAGATTCAGTGTTTATTCACTCTAAACAGCGTATCAATTTTCAGATTGCTGCAGGCAAATATTATCACCCTGTATTATATTTGAAGAAATTAAGTAATGAAGAATCTACATGATTGTACATACGTTTCTCACATTGGGAAAAAACGAGAGTTAAAGCCATTTTGAATAACATAATCCGCCATTCAAACATGGGCCCCTGGAAGCCGAATTTTGAATTTGTTTTATTGTCTCTTTCATATTTTGCGAAACTTTAACGAATCAATAGCAACACTGTACAGGGGAAAAAAAATATCTCCAGCGCGCGAGACTGTGTATCGAAAACTCTAAAGATATGCTCATTTTAAAATTATTTCGCGATATTGCTTTTGAACTGAATTTTATGGTTTTTAAGCGCGAAGAACCTGATGTTTAATAAAAAGTAACACACAAAATGTTAAAAAAAGCCCTTTTGGACGTAATTTAAAATCGGAAACCTTTCGAGCTTTTTTTTAAAATTTTTAATTTTAATTTTATTTTATTTAGTTATTCTTTTTTTTTTTTTTTTTTCTTTTTAATAATAAAAGAATCTCTTTTAAACCCGATTAAATTTGCATTAAGGAAATTCTCGCAGTTGTTTGTTAGGATACTTCTTAGTCCAAAGGGGCTTTGTCCGTGAGAGACTATTGTTTTCATTTTCCGATTTTGCGTCGAATCACTCTGAATGTTTGTTCCACTTTTCAAACTGTTGCCATCAAATATTATCGCCCTGTGTTCTATTTAAAGAAACTAAATGATGAAAAATCTGCATAAATGTATGTATGCTTCTCGCGTTGTGATAAAACAACGGTAACAAAGAGCCACCAAATTTTGAATGCGTATTTCTGCTGCGAATATGCGCATGTGAAGGATCAAATTTGGAATTTGTTTTATTACCGATTTCATATTTTGTAAGACTTTAACAAAATTTTGATTAACAAACTCAAGGATTTCAAAATGATCAATGGCAACGTTGTACAGAAAAAAAACATTTTATCTCCAGCACTTGAGACTGTGTATCGGAAATTCGAAAGATATGCTCAATTTAAAACTATTTTGCGATACTGCTCTTGAACCGAATTTTACGGTTGAAGTGGGAAAGCATGATATTTAATAACGATAACACAGACAATGTTTAAAAAACGCCCCTTTAAACTCAATCTGAAACTTTCAGAATTTTTTTTTTTTTTTAATTTTATTTTTTTTCTTTTTTGTGAATAATATAAAGATTAATCTCTTTTAAACCCGATTAATTGAACAGGAAGGAAAAATCTCATTTGTTTGTTAGGATAGTTTTATTATTATTATTATTTTACGAAGGGGAGGGGACGTTGCAAAGCGTAGTCGAAGAAATAAATGTCTAACAATGGTTAAGACTTTAAGCTGCGATTATAAATCTTCTCATATTTAGGGAGAGAAAATTAATGAAAATTTATCTAAAGCTTTATTTTACAAAATACTTCAATACGTTTCCAAATAAATATGCAAATAATTAAGTAAATAAAAGAAAGTCTTTTTCAAAAAGTGCGTTGCAAATGTCTTCAAGTTCTTTTCACTGTTCGCATTTGTAAGCCATTACGACTTAAAATGACGCACAATCTTGCTACAGCTTCCATTTGTCCTTGATTTAAATTTATACTTGACAAACAATTTTAAAAAATTTCAGGATTGTAGTTTTTTCTTTTTTAGACAAGAAAATGTTTCGAATTTTTTTAGTAACATTATCCTTGTTCACTTTGGTTTGCATCCATTTTTATTCAAAATATTCCGTTGTGCAGGCTTAACAATGCACAAGGAATAATAATAAAATATTTCATGCTATTTCTGTTATATTCCATAATGTTTATATTTTCTCCATTTAGCTCCTATAGCGCCAGACAAAAGATTCTTACTCAGTCTCAACTTCACGACGCTATTCGTCAACCTAAACAGCTGGCACAATGGGGGCTGTCCCATTCGTTTCTTCGTCGTCCAATACAAAGCCAACGGTCAACAAGACTGGACGCTCGTGAGCAACAACATTATACCAGAACAACAGAATATCACCATAATGGATCTGATTCCTGGAACTTGGTATTCTTTGCTGATGACCGCCCGAAATGATGCAGGATCAACTGATGCTGAATATGTGTTTGCAACAATGACAACATCAGGAGGTAATGTGCAGTTTGGGTGTAAGTTTTCTTTTGGCCACAAAGTAAATAGTTTCAGAAAAATAACGAAAACATTTGCCTAGAAGATGGAAAAGACGTTAACAAAATACTATGAGATTAAATTAGCATAATTTCTGTGAGCAATTCCAACAACTTGCACAAATTCAAATTGGCATTTCCATTCGTAGATTTCCATTGCATATGGCCAATCTGGAGATAAAATACAGATGTAACTAAATTTACAAATTTTTAAATTTAATGTTCAAACAGAGCAGTTTCTATGTAAGATAATCGAAAGTGCTAACAAAAACCAAGTGTTGCAAGTATCAAATTTAAAAACGGCTGAAATTCTTTTGTCAGTAAACAGTTCAATCTAGAATTTTAAATGAAAAGATTAATTACTGCAAAAAATCAGTGATAAACTTTATATGATATGTGTCATAAGTTATTGTTTAATATTCACTTTTGAGAAACGATTAAAATCTGAAATCTTTCAGATTTTTTTTATACTATTTTCTATATTCCATATATACTGCACACACAGACACATACAAATAAAAACAAACAAAAAAAAAAAAAAAAAAAAAAAAAAAAAAAAGGACAGTTCTATATCTCCCGTTCTACTGGGCCGATTGACAAAATTCAACTTTCGTTTTTTATGTCTCGAAAGCGCAACATAGGATTGGATTGGATTATTCAGTTATGGCAAAGCAAATGAGGGCTATCTGCCTAAAGGAAGAATGCCTTCGTGGAGACTTTTTAAGGGAAACTGGCTCGTATACATCTTACTCATGGGGAAAAACAACGAAAACGCCCATGCAGCCAGCCCGTTCGCGGGATTCGAACCTCGGACCGAACTACCAGTCTTCAGCGTCTTTACCGCTCGGCCGCTGGTGGGCAGCGACATTTTTGACACAAAATCGGACTTTTTCTGAAATGATATGCCAATTTTTTTTTTTCCATATTCCGATTCTATGACTCAAATTATGCCAAACTACCAAGTTTTGTAAAAATCGCAAGAGTACTTTTTTAAAAATTAGCTCTCAAAGTTTAGCTCCTCAGTGTTAAATTAATTTAATGTATATTTATTAATATATCTTTTTTTATTAAACGTACTTGATTTTCCTTCTTCTAGAATTCGAAATTTAGGCTGAATCCAAATATAATTCAAATATTTTTTAATATTTAATATTAAAATTTGTATTTTTTAATATTTTTATAAATTTCTCGAAAACATTTTTGGATTATAACCTATAAATTTTTAAAACCATCTTAAAGTATATGTATTTCTAAGCATATCTGCAAACAATAAGAGTTTTTTATTCAAAATTTCCTAAGATATATACATGAATTTACATTTTGGCGCGTTTTGAAATTTGGCGTATTTAATATAAGCGATAATAGCGAAAATGTGGTTTGCGCACAGAAGGACCTTTGCTCCTCTCTCAATGAAAAAGAAAAAAAAAAAGGGAAGTAAATAAGTTACTATAAATTAAGAATTCCTGAAGAAGAGTGAATTATCCTTGGCGCAAACTGTAAAATATTTTATATGATATGTGTCGTAAGTTATTGTTTAATATTCAATGTATAATATGTTATCGTTATTTATAACAGTACATATAAATAAGAGTACGTAAAACTTAAAATTTTTTTAGAAAAAAAATAATTTTTGATGAATATTTGTATACATATATTGCTTTTTAAAGATCGATTACAGGAGAAAAAACTTATTTTCTGTAATATAATCAGAATCGTTTAAGCAATCAGCCTGATAATACAGTATTCCTGTTATCCCGCATATTTTCAAGCCTAAACTGCATCATTATCCTAACTTTATAAATCGTCCCATTCTTTTTTAATCAATTATGATTACTAGTCCTTGATTTTTTATGTATGGCAATTTTTATAAATAACAACAACATTTTTAATTTTCTTCACAATAATTTATTTCTCTTAATAATAACATTTATTTTCATGAAACTTATGATAACAATTAAATATAAATATTATTATTAACCTTATCATTTAAATGTTGTTTGTATTCATTGGATAGATGCAGGTTCATTACCAATTTAGTAACTTTAAAGGAAAATGCATTCATTGGCAACACTGTGTTTCATATCTAGTTTTGGCAACAATAAAAGAAAATTCTGAACTTGGATTTGAAAACCAAATGTATGAGAAACTTCTATTGTATAACAAAAATCTCTTTTGCACAGGATTTACGTAAAATCCGTTCTTAGTGCGCGTCTACATTGTGGAATGAATAACTATGAAAAATTTCAAGTTCATCGGATGTATAGTTTCGGAGATCTGGTGATGAGTCTGTGGTATTTCTCTTATATATAGAGAGATTATATTACTTTGTATAAAAGCCGTTTTTCAAACTTGTCAAAAGCGATTATCTCACAGCTTTGGAAAAGACAGGAGAACGGTTGTTATAAATCCTGAATTATAAGTACCACCACCATCAGCATCAGACAGTCGCAGAAAATTAATTCCATTATTTTCTTCCTTCCCGGAATATCCTAAGAAAATAAAAGGAATTGCATTAGAATGAAATATAGTTCTACTTAAAGAAGTTTTCCTCTTTTGGAATTTTGAGCTTTGGGTATTACAACTGGTCTAGTTTTTGTTGTTTCAATTTAGATGTCATAAATCAAATCAATTAAAAATTGAAATCTTTGTTTAGCTTCTTCTTTATTTTTCTTCCTAATTTCGGTTTCGAATTTGGGTAAAAATTTGTTTAGTTATATTTTTTAAGCTTTTAATTGCTTTATCTAATCCTACTCAAAATGTTACCAACGACATACTAGAGAAATTTTTAATAATGTTAATAAGGAAAAATTAAAATATGAATATAAAAAAGAAGCAGAATTTATTAATACTGTTGCCTGCTTACAGGTTCGTATTAGATGGAATACACACAGCTTCGACGATGGGTTACTAAATTTATTTTATGAATGAACCACTTCAAAATTCTGGAACTTTCCACAAGATAGTCATATAACTCTTCACAGTATCACAGAGTATAATCAGTAGTTGCACATTAAACTACTATGAAAGTTAAACACAAAAGCAATGCAAAGCGCAGCGAAGCTAAACCGGAAATAGCACTCCGAACTCACGCTCAGCTGACAGCTAACAGCAACAATTGACAGCAGATGCTCTATCCGGCCTTATATGGTTTTCACCCGGCCGCCAAGATATTTCTACTACTTTCTGCTTCTCGAAATAACTGGAAGGCAATATGAGGGTTGAATTATGATTACAGCTAATATAGCGATCAATTACATTTATCCAATTACAATACATATTACGGTGATACAGGGACATAACAAAATGGTCACTAAATAGTCTCCAAGTTTGGCCACATTTTGCGATCTCTCGCCAAATTTGGCTACAAAAATTAGTCGCCGAAACCGCTGCCAGCTTGGCGACATTTCGCCAAATTACCGAAACACCCAATTACTTACTATGTTAAATGGACTTGCCCCTGTATTCTTACTTTGCCGGCATAGCCTGTCTCTTTAAATTTTTCGCGTTACATTACTCAGAAAAATACAACAATTTCACATATAATTGCACTAAAATCGTCTATTTACGCACAAAATTCCTAACATTACTTTAGGAAAGACAACATTAACAGCAACTGAAATTATAAAGTCAGTGCAAAATGTATTCAGAAACTGACTCTATGCCCACAACTTCGAGAAAATAATTATATCGTAAGTTCTATTGTTAAGCAATAAATAATCAGAAATACTTCAACAATGCTTTAAGAAATATTCTAAGAACAATTACAAACGTTGGAAAGATTCCTGTTTAAAATAAAGAAGGATATAGTATATAATATTTCTCTCTTTCTCTAATATAAATTTCAATTCCAAGAGAAAGTCTTTAAAGGCCAATTAAAAGTTTCTAACATGTATTTTCAAACTGCTCCGCATAATAATACTAATACTTCCTTTCTAATAAGTTTCATAGGGGGCGTAATATCGACGTTCGGCTGTATTTAAAGAATTTATTGAGTGAATTTCATTCTTTAAATCATAAATAGTTAACTTTTTTTTCTGGAAACTGATCTCTAAAATACTGACTGTTTTAAAATGATGATTTATGGAATTATGCACAAGCAGTTTGCGTAAATTCAAATATTTAATACAAATTAGTCGATTGAAATTCAATTTCAGAAACACACTTGGTACTTTAATATGCTTAAAAGAAATACATAATTGGCCTTATACTAAAATTAAAAGGGGATAAATGTGCTTTTTATTTTTCTTTCTTATTATTCGATCTCCAAAAATTCATTATTAATGGTTTAACAATGCTGCTGCTATGTTGGAATTTTACAAGCCGATTCTTTACGAAGTAGGTAGTGACATCTACTGGTAAGAAATGGAATTTTAATTTAGTGAAATAGTAATGAATGTTTTTTGATTTGGACGATTTGATTATTTATGTATCTTATTAAAGTTACAAAAATATAAATATTTACGACTTGGCACTTGAATAAATACTTAAAACTGTAGCAGAAAATATAAAATGCAAATATTGCAAAGAGCATAAATATTGTAAATATTTTATACAATACGAGAAGAAAATCTCTAAAAATTGCATCTGAATGATTACCTAAAAACTGCATGTGAATAATTACCTGAAAACTGCATCTAAATTATTTCTTTTTAGATCATCATTTAGATGAGTTTTTAAGTATTTTATACAGTTTAGTCACAAAAGTAGCAATAATCTATAAATTGAAGTTATGTGCTCGAAAGATAAGATAATAATGGTTACTTGAAATTAAATCTAAAGCTCCTTTCAGACGATAGAATAAATGTCACAGAGGTTTAGTCATAAGGCATAAAATGCTGGAGCTCCGTTCACACCTGCGAGACTAAGTAGAAGCCGTAGCAAATTAGAGAAGCTAAATTTGGGGGTGCCTTTGGATGTGTCTACAGCTTTCCCGCTCTGTTTCCTCATTCAGTTTTCGCGCGTTCGCTCTCATTGGTCGACTGTCATACCAAGTTGGCATAAAGTTGGAAACTTCGAACTTTATGCCAAAACCCCTAAACCAGTTTTCATGACATAGCAAGGTCTGGTTACCTAGCAACCAAGCTCGGCCTATAACCAGTTATGACATTTAAACCCCCCTCCGTTCAGACGGTGGTATTTATGGTATAGAGGCATAGCCATAAGGCATAAAATGCGAGAGATCCGTTCACACCTGCGAGACAGAATTTAAGCAATAGCCAATTAGAGAAGCTAAATTTGCGCATGCCTGGATGTGTTTACAGCTTTCCTTCTCTGTTTTCCAGCTCGTTCGCACTGATTGGTCGACTGTTATACCAAGTCCGGATTAAGTTCGAACTTCGAAAGTTGAAAACTTCAAATTTTATGCCAAAATCCCTAAAATTGTGACGTTGCAAGGTCTGGTCACCTAGCAATGAAGCTCGGTTTAAACCAGTGATGACATTTATACTACTGTCTGAGAGAAGCCCAAGAGACTATTGTTTGCATAAAAATGATTGATTTGTTCACTAAAATATTTTAGACTGGCATTTCAAATTTTAATTAAAATTAATGAATAACATTTGAACCTATTTTTATTTTAATTATTTATGTCGCGAATTTCAGCTGATCATGAATAAATGTCAATTGTTTTAATTACTTTTTCTAAATTTCATTCTATTTTCCAGAATATCCCCCGAGGCCTTCAGAAGTAAGTGATGTCGGAGGAGCATTCTATCGTCATCTCTTGATCACAGTTCCTGTTGTTAGTTCTGCTGTGGTTCTTATTGTTGTGCTATGTGTGGTTTGTCTCATCACAAGACGACGAACATCAGGGCGCAGGACACTAGCATCGGACGGTTAGATAATATTTTACAAAAGTGTTCTTCTTTTGCTCTATTCCTGCATTACCATGATATGAAAATTTATATGTAAATGAAAGAAGTATTTTTTAAATTGTTAATCGGGAAATTTGTTTGATAGTGTATAGGGCTCTAGTTAAATTCAGTCCCCTTGACAACTAGAACTGGAGAAGAGTGTAGCGATTACTCGCTGTTCTTCTTAAAACTACAAACCAAAGTCCAAAGAAGGCTTAAACAATTTGATTTTAATTTGAGAATATTTACAATCGGCCCCTCTCGAGCTTACTGGAAAGCCTCCACGTTGGCTTTAACTTCAGATAGAAAATAAGAAATTAAACTAATTCTAATTAACTAAAACTCAACCGAAGCTGTATAGAAATAAGTAATCGACTCGGCCGTTAATTAAATCTCATCGGAGATTACTAACACGCACGTAAAGGGCCATTCACACTGGGATTTGTCGGTTTTATATGTCGAGTAGCTCTGCTGTGCGAGGAGTTCAGATTTTTCAACTAACTCTGCTATTAGGAAAAACTGGTTTTGGAGCAGCGTCGGTGGTGTCAGATGTTTCCGTTAGTTCAGGTAAAGCCCAGTGTGAACAGCCCTTAAGAATACGGCCGGACGTAGTAAGATTGGCTTAAACCAACGACGCAGATAGAAGGCAGAACACGTTCTACCGAGAACTGCTCAGCTCTTCTACGGAAGTGACTGAAACTTATCATTAAATACTAGTTCTATCTCATTTACACTCATGTCCATAAATTAAGGATAATGCAAAATCAGGCAAAGGAAGAGTTAGAAGCAAAACAAATTCGACTTATTTGTAAAGCTTATTTATTAAACAAAAGGTAAAGAGCAAAAAAAGATGCTATATGTTTGATATTATTAAACAATTAGCGATTTTTTGTCCCTGGAGCAAATTACAAAAAATAACCTATCTACATAAAACTAATATTACATGGCTGGTATAATTGTTAATACATTGTATTTCTCCCAGACAATGCAATACAGTCAGTACAACGCCTAGGCATGCTGAGTATCACATTATCGATCTGATCTTGGGGGCTATTACACCACTCAAAACGCAATGATCTCCGAAGTTCCGGTAGACATGTAGGATGAGGTTGACGGGCTGCAACTCGTCGGCCAAGCATGTCCCACACGCGCTCTACCGGATTCAAGTCCGGTGAGAATGCTGGCCAGTCCATACGGGTGACATCCTCCGATTGAAGGCATTCGCTTACGATGTTTGCACGGTGAAGACGGGCGTTGCCATCCATAAAGACAAATTGAGCGCCCATGGCGTCCCGAAAGAAACTTACATGTTGTTCCAGAATGAAGTCCCGATAGATTTGGCTTGTCATGGTTCCAATTTGAACATGCAGGTCAGTTCTGGAACCCAGAATAATTCCACCCCAAACGAGCACTCCTGCACCACCATAACGGTGTCGTTCAATGATGTTTTCTTGGTGTAACGGGTACCTGGAGCTCTCCATATGAAAGTCCGGCGAGAATCAGACTGCAAGCTAAACCTGGACTCGTCGGAAAACATCACACAAGCCCACTGTTGCGGTGTCCACAATGCATGCTCTCTACTCTAGGCTAACCGCAGGCGACAGTGAGTTGCAGTAAGTGGAACACATCTGACAGGTCTACGAGCATATAGACCAATCTGTCCTAAGCGTCTGTACACAGTCTGCCTTGAAATTGTCGTACCAGTGGCTGAAGAGAGCTGACGAGACATGTCTGAGGCTGTACTCCACCTGTTTCTTTTGGCAGTAACTGCCAAATACCGGTCCTCGTTCGGCGTTGTAACTCTGCGGCGACCTGTGCTGTAACGTCTACTCACAAGACCATCATCTTGGAATCGTTGCCTAAGCCTGGAGATGACACTTTGGGCAATTCCAAGTTCGTCTGATACTTTTCGATAATTCTACCACGTAAAAAATCATCCAAATGCGTGCTTTGTGTCATAACTATTCGGTTATTGCACCGAAATGCTTATAAAGCGCCTGCGAACAATTTTACTTCTTTGCCTGTATTCCTTATATATCACTTTCTTACACTCGCGTCATTGTGACGTACCATCGGTGTCATCTGGTTACTTCCTGAAATTTGCATATGATTCTTGAAGATGTGTGTAGTGATTTTACAGGTGATATATTTATTTTAGAGTTCGATTTCCGCGTGACTCAATTATCCTTAATTTATGGACATGAGTGTAAATAAAACGCGATACTGAAAATGTATTCTGGTAGGAAGTGTAGGTGTAAAAGAACAAATAAAGGAAAGGATTTAAAAATTAAAAATAACAATTAGGATATTAAAGTAATTCCTACATTTCTTTTTTCTTCTTTTTCTTGTCGTCTGTTAACTTTGCATAAGTAAGACAGGTAATGTTTTCGATCCAAAAGTTCGATAGTAAATTTTCAGTAATAAGCACGAATTAGTGTCTCCACACTATGCTTTTATTATTTTTACAAGGATGTCTGTCTATTTATATGCATGGTGATTTTTTTCGTTGACGATAACTCTTACATCTAATTTCCAAAATTTCTGTATTTAAAATTACTGCATTCATATAAAAACTTGATTAGATTTTGAATAAAATTGAACAACCGGGATTTTTACTTTACTTAAAGCCTATACTGGAAGTGGAATTTTACTTGAAACCCAAAACAGTTTTTAAAGAAAAATATATTAAAATACAATCCAGAAGTTTTCATTTATAATATTCAGGACTTTTATATCAAGGGAACAAGCTATTAGATTTCGTATGAAATTGATAAACGGGAAATGATACTTTAATTGGAACTCTGAGCAGAGTTTCGTAAAAAAAAATATGCCATGATATAATCGGTAATTTCTCAAATTTGGTATTTAAAATACGTATATGCATATATAGTCATAACTGAGAACAATGTATTAGATTTTGTCTGTATATTATAACCAGAAGTTATGTTTTACTTGGAATTCTTTTCAGATTTTCGTGAAAAATGTAAAATCACTGTAATATCTCAAATAATGCAATACATATTAATGTTATTTCTGTGATATCTAGACATAATGGTTATTTATATCAATCCGTAGAACAGAATGATTTTTATGACAATATTTATTTGCAACAACAATTTATATATGATTCAACAGAATGATCATATATTATTCAACAGGATGATTTTTATAACAACGATTCATTTGCAAAACTTCAAAACTCTTGTAATGCTTTGGCGTTTTACACAAAATATCACTTATTATTTTTCTTTGCATAATGATGTCAAAGCAAAAGAACAAATAGCAAATTGGAATACTTACTGGTTCTAAAACGCATGGTAGTCAACATTCAGCTGTAATTCCAAACACTAACGAACATTATTAATGCCTGTTATTAGTACCTAAATATCGCCGGGACATATGTGCAGACCAAAATGAAATTTTAGTATTCGTTTGAAAGTATTTATTATATATATGTTATAAACAAGTAATTTTTTAAATTAAAACCTAATTAAATTATATAGTAATGAACTGCCGATTAAAATACAATTTTTAATAAAAAGAAATAAAGGGGCAAACATTTGATTACAAACGCTCAGCTGCGGTAAGATAGATTCTCCGCAAGGCGGTTTTAGGGTCGCCAGAAAATGGCAAGTGAAGGCACGGTTGCCATATTTGGCGCGAAATTGCCCATTTGGTAACATTTGGCGACAAAATTGGCGATATGTCAGGGACGGATGGAGAACCTTCTAGAACAAATTCCTACCGGTTTGGACCAGAATTTCTCGAAGGCAGCCCAAAAGCTATATAAACCCTACCCTGCACGCGGAGTAGCAGCCAGTTAATAGTCAGTGAGTGAGCGTCTTGTAGTCTAGCGGCGAGTTGATTGTCAATCTATCGACTTGATCGCGAGTTAGTGCCTCATCGAGTTTTATCTTGAGTGTGTTGATTTTCGAGGACGACCGATCCGAGTCGGGAGCTGTACTTTAGTGCTTCTCGTCGAGTGTGTCGCGAGTGTCAAGAATACGTAGAGTTCCGAGAACGACTAAACTGAATCGGGAGCTGTAGTCGGGTGCTTTGTCGTGAAGCTTGCTTCATTGCTATAGTCTGATAGCCTGCAGGCTCTGTCGCTGATTGTTTCAGCATGCTTGTCATAGTTTTCTATGATTGTGAACGTCCTGTATAATACTGGTCAATAAATTGTGTTTTCATTCTTCATCAAAAGCTGTCGTTATTCACTCCAAATCCACGAACACGTGCAAAAAGGCAACAATATAAATTAAACCGTTTTTTCACATAGCCAGTTACAATTCATACAATACGATGCAAAATTTCGTATTACGGACTTTTTATTGGATCAATAAACTGGATTTTTTTACAAACAATCTATCGAAACTGATACTTTAGTTAGAGCTCGTTTCTATGTAAACGATAGAATTGGCGGGAGTCCATGTGCTGTCCACATCCGATTTCAATTTCTTATAATGAGCAGCAGAACTCGAAGATCCGATCGCCCGGTGCTTAGCATGGTTATTAATCCAAGTAGGATAGATGTGAATGCTTGAAAAATACCTTTCGAGTCTTCTATTCAAGAAAATGTTTTAAAAGAAGTGTAGAGTCATTAAGTTATTTGAAGCAGGAGACATGAAAAATGTGCAATGCCCTCGACGGGACTCGACCTGGAACACTCAAATGCACGCCGAGTGTGCTACCATTACACCACGAAGGAGGAAGAAAATACTTTATGTACTCCTCCTTTGAAGGTCGACTGGGGATTAAGTACGCTAATCTCCAAATCCTGGTGGTGACGAATTATCGCCCCACCACCCTTTTTGTTCCGACGCCACTGGGAAGTCATTGCGCTACCGATATACCATGAAAGCATGTTGGAAGAATTAAATTATGAAACAGTGTTCTAATGTGCAATTTGGCTTATTAGAGAATATTTGATAGCTGTAGAATTATGCTTATAAATAATTTGAATTTGCAAGCAGAATTATGTTTTGCAATTTAGCAGCAAAGATTAAAATTAAAATGTTTGCCTTATAACATAATTATAATTATATATTTTCATGGCAACTTGCTGCTTCATAGATATTTAGGTATGAATTCAAAAATAAAAATGTTATTTACCCTTACTTTTAAAAGCTATATTTTCATTGAAAATTACTTTAGCTCCACAGGCGCACGAAATTACAAACCGGGTATATAATTCTTAATTTTTCTTATACCAGTCACTAAACGCTTATTCCTTAAGAAATAGTGATAGCTGAAATCTGGCCGCCTCATTTCTTTATAAGAATGCATTAAATTTGAATAAAATGCTACATGCCCTCATAATAATTGAATTTGTACGTTGCATACGTTTTTTAAAACTGCCCAGATATTTTTTGCAATTTAGAATGGAAAAATAGTAATGAAATGGAATACAAATTCCTATTTGTTTTAATTAATTTTGCAGTAACGTCTCTTACACTCTTAATCCGGATTTGATTTTATTTGATTGAAAAAAGAGGAGAAATCTTTTTCTTTCAAAAAACGCAAGTTGTTCAGTAATCATCATTCTAAAGCCGTCACATTCTGCTCTTTCATAATTCAATGAAAATCGATTGAGTTCACCCTTGAATAGCCACTGCGAGCTTGAATTGTTTTCAAGCAAATCGGTTACCAATTATACTGAAGGTATGTGCTTGCAGTAAGCTAAAATATCATTTTTAATGATATTTTCAAGCAAAATATTATTACATAATTTCTCTCTGTTGTTTACATGAGGAAAGTACGTTTTTATGTTTATTTTAGACATAAAATGTGTTTCACTGTAGAGACATTAGGTTATACCTCTGGGATACTCGCCCAGCGTGCAGACTACTATACCACGAAGACACGCTAAGAAGACGGGAGAAATACCACCTTATATCACGAAATTTCAATTCAAAAGTTTATTAAATTTTTCTAGATTATAAGAATGGTTTTTCATTATATAGTCGATAAATTAAGATTTTCGGAGCAAATATAACCAGCACTCTCAGGCTCAGAAATTTGGATTTATAATTTTGCTTTCTGATTTCGATCCAAATTTTCTTTAATTTCTAAATTTTCTTGGTTTTTGCATCCAGCACTGTGAATATTTATTAATACTGAATTTAAGCTACTGAAAAATTACACAAAGTATATCATTATAATGACAGGCGTAAAAATTAAGATTTTATAAATAATCGTTTTATATAACTACAAATTAATAATTATCGAATGTAAATAACTATTTTTATTCTGTTTAACTGGACAATATTTGGTTCTATACACTTGTGTGTCTGAAGAATAGTAATTATATAAGTAAAAATATAAATGCGATCAGTATTCTCAAAATTTATTACCATCTATTATGCTTTACATGCTAGTCTTTAGGAAATTTTCTTAAATTGCTGCTGTGTTTCGACTTATCTTCTTTCACTGACAGTAACATCGAAATAGTTCCACGAGCATTTTGTTATTGTTGTTTATGCTCACTTTTCTGACGTACTCAGCCCAAGCCAGCGAAATTCCTCGTGGCAGTGAGCTCTAGATTACGCCTGCCGTTGGCAACAGCCTTGAGCACCATTCAGGTGACAGTGTGATTTAACTCAGATAGTGCGATTTACCACCTGGGGGGGACAGGTGAAAATGGTAACCTAGCTACGTAGGTATCGTGGAAATGTGCGGGTTCTGAGAAATATCCCTTTCAATATCCAGTGTTCTAAGAAATGTCCCTTTCGACATCCACTTCCGCGTAAAGGAAACATATGTGATAGGGTCTTTATGGAAGTACTTTCTCAAGCTACGTCTCAGTTTTGAAAAAAGTGCATTCTGAAGTGAAAGAAGTACTTTCCCAAACTCTGTCTCAGTTTTGAAGGAGAAACCTCTCTCCGGGCCCGGCAATAAGGCAGTTAGCATCCTTAGCCAGTATACCCGATCAGGGGACAACTTTATTAAGTTAGACAATTATTTCTATTCATTTATTTACTTAAATCTTAGTCGATTCCCATCCTTCAAAATGACCAAACTTGTGAGATTCTCGGAGATATGTTTCAAATTTGAATATTTGTCTTTTGAATTGAACATCTATATTCAGATAATGAAAAAATTTCCTTCGAAAATTGGTGGAATTTAAGTTCAGCACATGCCTCGAAATTCTGAACGTAATACGAAAAATTTCTTAAACATACTAGAAAACGAATTACTCAACGCTATTTATTAGGAAAGTTTCAGCAAACGAGTTTCTGTATTATTAAAATAAAATGTTTCTAAACTTTTCCAAACACTGATCGCAGATCTTACAAGTGATAACAGTCTGCGATTTATCGAGAGAAAGAGGTTACTTTATTGAAAGAAATATGGCAACCGTGGTCATAATTAATAAATTCAAGTAATTAATTGACCTTTTTTCGTGAGAAGGTTTGGTACAAGATCTGTTTTATTTCGTCGTCTATTATTTTACTTATTTTTATTTCGCGTATCGAAAAAGGGTTTTTACTACTAGACAACGATTAAACCATCTCTATTATAAATAGGCGTTATTGTAAATGAATGATGCAAATCGTATTGTATATCAAGATAAGGAAATGAAATGTTTAAAAAATTATTTTCTCTAAATCCTTAACAACATTTTCGAATAATTTTATAACTTAACTTAATAAACTTAACGGAACTTAATAACTTTTTTAATAATCCCTTAATAACATTTTCCTTGTAACATTAACTTGATAACATTAATGTAATTTATGGCATAAGTGTAATAAATAAAGCACTTTTCTAATACTGAATTAATTCCTTGAAAAATTTCTAGCTGTGGATAGCATTCGAATCAAAAACAACTTACGAAATCGTGGTGACGAATTTTTTACTACTTATAGGAATTCTTTGTGTATATTTCCTTTTTCATTTTATACGCTTTAACATACTTCTCAAATATTTTAATATTTTTCTATTTGTACCGTTATACATTTAAAAATCGAGCTTTATTCTGACTTATATTATACGACATATGAATATAATGATCACATATATATGTAGAAGTTTTGTAACAAGTATATAGAAATTTTGTAATAAGTACAATTAATAGTTAAGAATAAACATGCATTAAGAAAAAAATTATGGAATTTTACGTCTCTTCTATTTTGAAAAATACGTAATCATAAGTTTGCTTTAAAATTTAACTATTTAAATGTTTTCATTTCATGTTTTTTAATGTTTTCAAAATTAAAATTTTACTTTTTTAAGAATATAAAGACATAATTTTAGTATCCTGCAGGTTTCCTCAGATAGGTTTTACTCATCCACACATAGATGGCGCCACATTAAAAAGTGAGTTACTAAATGCTTGCATTGAAGGCTAGTTGAGAATTTCTAGTAGTTTCAGGATTTAGAATCCGGTTTGATACTATCAAGAATATTTAAAACTGTTCGCGTAAAATAGTTCATTGCAATTACTACACAGTACGGTTGTGCTACACTTTGTGGACACAATATTAACAAAAATTAGTTTATATTTTATGATACTCGTAAGGAAAATCACGAATATTCTTCAACAGCAGGGAATGAAATTTCTAATATAATTATCACTGCTTTCCATTTTAACGAGATTTATCCTCTTATGTGTAATGAAATTCTTTTTGAAACAACAAAAGCTGAGCTTACGAAACTCTATATTAAGCGGTTTAGAAGAAATTGATAAATAGCTCCGACGTAGGTGATACGCAAATTGAATATTGGGTTGTTTTTATCGTCAATAAAAATGTATCATTGTAAATTTATATTTAAAATGAAACGCATTTAATGACTATTCTTAATTACTATTTTAATGCATCGGTTTTAGGTGCAGAAGGGAGTGAACCTATAAAACCAGAATCTATGCCCTTATCATCTACATACGAGACAGGTCAAGAACCAACCTATTTTCCAGCTCCGTATGCAGCCAGCAGAGTGCCAGGTTACAACAGAGAATCATGCGTTCATCCAGGCATGGGCAATCAACAAAATATGGGAACATTTGGAAGTTCTAGAAGTGGATACACGTATGATGTTCCTTATCCACCAAGAAAGGTAAATGTATGTGCATGTGGGGAGTTCGCGCACGCGTCTGAATAAAATTCTAAGACTTCCTAGTCATCATTCGCTTATTGCATTTGAATATGCTGCAAATATATATATGGCATATTTTAAAGTTGCTGCTGTCTATGATCACAGCCGCCCAGCCGCGATAGTGGGGAATAGGTGTTAGTGAAGGACTAGGACTTTTCACCGTCGCCATTTCATCGTGGCCGTTCTGCCTTCGGGCCGCTTCGCCGTCGAAATTGTTTCGCCGTCGGGACGTTTCGTCGTCAACACATATTTTTCTTTGCATGACTGTATTATATCTTGTCGTATTATACACGTATTAAATTTATTTAGTTTAATAATTCTGTTTACGTTTTGTATACTTAATAAAGGTAGTTATTTAGAAGTATAAGATATAAAGAAAGTACACATAGTTAGAAAATTGTGTCAGTATCAAACAGAACTGGGGCAAAACGTCTGATATAACAGAAGTTATATTATTGATTTTAAATTATGCGGATACAATATTTACATAATTTGCCAAAATTTCTTGAAATTTCAATCGGCTAGTTCAGAGAAATCACTCATACAAGCAGGAAATTCACATTTTTATGAAATCTGAATGAAAAACGGAATTACTTTGGAATCTTGTCAGCACATTATTCCCTTAAAATTAATATCTCATATGTAACGGTGTATATATATAAAACTGTACACAAAAACATTAAATATATTATTTTGTATAAAATGTTTATTAAATTAAATTAAAGTATTAAACTAAGCAGAGTTATTAATTTAAATCAACTTAACATAATACGACAAGATATAATATAGTCGCGTAAATAAAAAGATGTTTTGACGGCGAAACGGCCTGACAGCGAAATGACCACGGCGAAACGGCCACGGCGAGTAGTCCTATTCCCGTTATAGTGACGCTGACAGCTGTACTGATGAACCTAAGTTCAACACCCGGAGAAGGCATGTAAACTTCTAGTGTCTGTGCGACATTTTATTTCTTCGATAGAAAAGGAGTTGATATAACATCAAGATTTTCTTTGCCATGTAAAAAGGGTATTTTTTATGACTCAGTAATCAGTGACTCACAAAATCAGCAAAGAACAGGAACGATATTTATAGTTCGTAATTATTTTTATCTTTACGTTGCAGGCTAGAAGTTATTTTTTATCTTTGATACAATCTACACACCATATACATTCATCTAAATCAATTATATTAATCAATTATATTATATTTCTTAAAATTCATGCTGTGCAATATTATACGTTTTTGTGTTATTTAAGTAAACTTAAAGATTGAAAACGAATAAACAAATTAAATTAAATAAGTTGTTTTGGATGTGAACACAATCTCTCGAATGATAATAAATTAACTTATTTTTTCTCATTCTAGAATGGGGGGGGGGAACGAGCGATCCGCATTAAAACGGAGTTTGGTACATTTAGAGTTCTATTACATTTAAAACCATAACTAACAAGAACACGATGCAGCACAGTTCTAATGAAAACAATCTCTCGAATGATAATAAATTAACTGTTTACGTTTTGTATACTTAATACAAAACCTTTATTAAGTATACAAAACGTAAACAGAATAAAACTAATATCTCGAATGATAATAATTAAAAATATACATATTAAAAAATTTAAAATTAATAAAAGCAATTAAAAATCTGAAAGGTTTCAAATTTTTAATTACGCCCAAACGGGCTTTTTTTTTTTTTTTTTTTTTTTTTTTTTTAAGTTTTGTGTGTTACTTTTATATATTAAATATTCTTCACACTTAAACCATAAAATTCAATTAAACAGAAATAGCCCAAAATAATTTTTAAATGAGCATACCTTTAGAATTTCCGATATACAGTCTCGTGCGCTAAAGATAAAAATGCCTGCCTTTCAATACAGTGTTGTCATTGCTCGCTTAAATTTCGTTGAGTTTACTAATCAAAAATTCGTTAAAGTATTACAAAATATGAAATCAATAATAAAACAAATTCCAAACTAGGGCTTCCAGATGCCCACATTCGGTGGAGGATTACGTTATGCAAAATCTGACGGCTCTAGGTACCGTTGTTTTATCACAACGCGAGAGACATCCATACATTTATGCAAATTCTTCATTATTTAATTTCTTTAATTATAACACCGCGCGATTACATTTAGTGGCAACAATTTTAAAAGTAAAATAGATATTTAAATTTTTCAATGCAAAATGCCAAAGCAAAGACTAAAGGCTTTTGAGCTAAAAATCCTTACATTTATTGCTTTTCTTCTGAATGATTATTTCATAAAATTTGTGATAACTCTTTTAATAACTTCAGTAATTTGAGATATTGAAAAAAATTACCTTTCATGTTTTTAAATCCATCCCTATGTTTTTAAATATATCCATTTTCATTTCAGCACTTTACGAGGTAAAAAACTTGCCTATATATGTTTCTTTCAGCTATTATTTGCACGATCCTTGTAGCTATATATTATTATTTATTTTAGTATATTTAATTATTTAATGTGGTTCCATCATTTGTAAACACCCTGTATAAAATTATTGAAAATATTTTGTTTTCCAGATGGACAAAGCGGAAAGAAACTATGAATCTCCTATTTTGTATTTATCAGGCTATAATACTAAAGGTAAATATTAGTGCTAAGAAATCAGAATTTTCCTATATTTTGCAATATTAAGTTCCGTAAAGAAATAACGGTACTTTTCCGTTTCGCCGGCGCAAATCTCGCCAAGCAGACGTTATTGGCGACAACATACAGTATACAAATAAAAAATGTTAACAAATGTTAGTTCTAAGAATTTTTTATTTTGAAGGCATAAATATTTTAATAGAGCTTAAAATTTTGTAAAACGCCAATAAATAAAAACAATACATTTGTAAAAAAGACATTAATTTAAGAATTTACTATGCTTTCATTGTTCAACATCCTGATTCACCGGTTCGTATCACGTGACCCCAAAAGATCTCATCTCACGTAAACTATATTACCAAAATCTAATTCTCTCAATAATTATCTACATTAATTTTAAGTTAAATCTTGTTTACAAATCTTAGAATACAAGTTTAAATGCAAGAATTGTTTCAATTCGTACGAATAGCTTACTCAGAAATTATGTAAAACCACAGTGCTTTACTTCGCTGGTGCATTAGAATTGCTGACTTTAATTATTGACTTTGCCTTTACTATATTTTCGTCTTCGGTGAGCGGTGTGATTGCTTCCTAATTGACTTAATTACCGAGAATGGTCTTAGGTCATAAAATTGAAGTATCTGGTAAATATTCTATGTAATTTTATGCCAGTATTGGAAAAAAAAATTAATCTGATAAGAAATGGCTGCGACTTGTTTTGAAAATGAGGCGTAAAAGGTTACCAGCGAGGATATTCCGTTTGGCATTAGTTGTACCATTATTGGCGACTTTATCGCCTGCGCCGGCAAAACGGAAAAGTACCGAAATTAACATTATCTTAATAACTGAATTATCACAGCACTCAGTAGATAAATATGTCTTTCCATAAATATTTTTGCAGCCAAAATTATTAAAAAACATCTTCCGTTGGCGAATTAGTTTTCCTAATGACGTTTACAAATTAATGAAATTTTTCATTTCTAGTTAAATATCTCAATTCCAGTTCCGTCTTTACCTTCAACTTTAAACAAAAATATTTAATATCTGTTTTCAGTTTCTGTCAATAGATTGCGCCAGTATTTTTGTTCCTATACTAAATGGAAATTTCTCGAAATTTATGCCTAATATGCACAGACTCTCCCTTGTTTTCACTTCTGCAGCTAAAGCAGAGATTCTGTCCAAACTTTCGAAATTATCCCTGCAAATTTGTGCAACTTACTCTGATTCTTATAGCTTTAAACTCTCCAATATTTTTACTCTTCGATGTGTTCTTTTGGTTATTATTATGATTATATGTTTGTTTGTATATTTATTTAGGATATAGACCCTGAGGTACTTAGAGCCCAAAAGCAAAGAAATTTCTCAGAATTTTGAAAAATTTGAAGAAATTTATTTATTGATTTCCAAATTTCCATTTATGGTAAATTTAATTTACCTTCAACTTGAGAAACTGCTGGGATAAATCCCATAGGAAATTTTATTGTGCTGCTGTTTTCTATATGGAGAACAGGAATGTTTTTGTTTGCAGATTATTTATCGCAGACATTGAAACAACTATAAATTCACTGCTAAACCACTATCCATGTCTATATTCATATTTTTATTCCGGCATTTCAGTAATACGCAGGATGTTTGCACATTTTTAGATGACTTTTATTGTACTTACAGAAGTATTTTACCTAACATTTTTGTGTTTTAAATGTTTGGAGGATCTCATATCCAGTCAGACTGTTAAGAGTAAGCTGACAGCACACCAGGCGTCTAGTCTTGTGTTCAGGAGTCAATGGTACTTTTGTGGCTGGTACCCATGAACGTAAGCGTACTTCACGCAATCTGTTCCGAATAGTTTGAGTGGACACAGATCCATCTGCTTCTGGAGGCAACCGGCTTCGGATGTCACGTGACGTGGAGAAAGGGTAATATTTGACCGCCGAATACGCCGGTCTATGCTCTCTGATGTGCACCTGTGGGCACCACTTTCTCTTCGACGTGCACGCAGCACGCATACCTTCCTGAATACATTGTGCGAGACAACGTTGGATGTTACTCACATTGTGCCCAACACGGGTGGCTATTGTGCGAGTCGACAAACAAAGCTCATGGAGTTCGATAACACGGTCACGTTTCCCACTTAACTGATGGTATTGAGCCAATTGATGTCATCGACGTCTCTAAAGACATTTTCTATACTATTTCTAAAGTCTCAAATGCTCCGTAAACCCTCAGATGCTGTTTATGAGAAAAAAAGTGGCTAACTTTTATAGCCCGTATATGCGTACCATGTGATATAATGCGTGCGCAACTTTTATCATTTGCATATCTACCTCGCAACCCTCGCTCCTGAAATTTGTATGACGCTACGCGCATTCTTTCTTGGTGTTGCAATTTCACTTTTGATGAGAGTATCATCTGTTGTTGTGGTCTGGTACTTGCTAGGCTTTCCCAGCGACCCACTTTCAAACTGACCATCTATTGTTAGCTTAAATTCACAGTTTTGCACACCGGATATAAAAATAACAATTTTACTTGTAATCTTGCAGGGTTTCCCTTAGTTTAAATAAAAAGTTATTCTAATTTTTATTATATTTAATTATAAAAATTATTAGTTCAGAAATGAATTATAATAAGATTACAATTCATTTCTGAACTTCTCAATTTCCTCTCGCATTTGATCGCCAGGATGCAAATTAAGTTAAAGTGGGAAAGATTATTTAAACGGGTGAAAAGAGAAAGTCAGAGCGTGATTTCGCTAACCTTGCGCACGTTGCTAGTCTGTCCTTTCTGCTGTTACTCTGAGTTGCTGATACGCCTCTTGGAAGTTTAGTTAAAGTCTGTTAGCCGGTGTAAGTTGCTGAGTCAACATGTTAGTACTAAGCAGTATAGCATTACTTTTAGCCAATTAAATTTATTGTTAAATCATTCTTAAATTTCCACCGCAAGTGTTACTGTGAGCACGAAGTACGTTTTTGTTAAGAGTGTGATGAATAATAAAGGGTTTGCTTTACCCTTTTTCTGTACTGTTATTATTCACGCATGTGCAAGAATTCACCAGGTTTCTTAGCAATATCGCACTAACTGTATGATAGCAAAGAAGGTTCGATCTCACAATCTTTAATACAGAGTTTCTGGGTTCCTATTAAACAGACTAATGTTTTTATTTTTCACTAATAAAATATTATTAATGTCTCAATTTTTTATTAAATAAAGAAACATTATTTCTTGACAGATTTAAACAATCGTCAGAGTCTTTCCAGTTGCGATATGTCGAGCAGAAAAAACAGACACAACTTATCGTGGAGAGGAATTGACGGAAGGTAATTTTATTTATTTTATTTACATATATTTGTTTTTTTTATTTAATGTACATAACATGTACTGGAACATAATATTAAGTTATGTTACAAAATAAACACTTCAAACTGTACTGCAATATTTTTGTTCTATTCTGCAGTATTTTCATTTCAAATTGTAAAATGCTCTGTAAAGCATCCAATTTAAATAAAATATTTTGACGATTTAGACTGAATTCGTCAATGAAGTTATAATTATATTAAGGATGTGAAGTTATACTTTTTTGTTGTTCAGTTTTTCAATAAATATAAAAAATACATGAATATAAATTCCTTTATGCTGAGCTTACACTTATCAGCACAGTAATATTTGAAGTGGAATTAGACTTAAATTTTTAAAACATAATCCCTGAGTTCTTTTGTTTGCCTATTTTACTATTCTCTAACTTCGAAATGATAAATTTATATATAAGTAAGTTTCTCTGAATAAAGCAACATAGCCTGATAAATTTCTTCCTCAAAAAATTCTTTTGATTTTTAATATTAAGTTAGAATAAATATCGTGCGAAGAGACTATTTGATTGTTAAATTTAAAATACAATACTGAATTGCAATATATTTTAAAGTTATGCTTTCAGTTTTGCATCGTTGCATTCTATTGCAAAATTTGCAATGCCGTATGGAATTACATGTAACATTTATTATACCTACCTCTGGCCGAATAATTATGTCCGCTGAATTATGGTAGCGTAGGCTCGTGTCCAAATCACGCGAAACGGAGAAAGGATGGGCTTTTATGTGGGTTTCCTCATGCTTAAGGTAAATATAATCCTATTGTTGCGTTTTTCTTTTCTGACACCAGTTGTTAAGTTACGTACGAGGTTCGTGGGGATTTGGAGTGAATAATGACGACACTTGTATGAAGTATCGAAACGCACTTTATTTATCAATATTAATCCGGACAGCTCCAAAACACTTTTACAGTCGTCGAAGATTTACTATAAACACGCTGGAACAATCAGCGACGAAGCCTTCACACTGTCATACAATAACGGTGGAGACAACTTCATTGCAAAGCACCAGAGTACAGCTCCCGTCTCTGCTCGGTCCACGTACTCTCGAGATTCTCCACACTACAACTCGCGATGCACTCGACGACACACAGAGCACGGCTCCCGACTCTTCGGTTCAATCGTTCCCGGAGCTTAACACACTCTCTCGACGATGCACTAACCGCGATACGCTTCGGTGCACTCGACACCCACTCGGCACTCGTTGCCCGCCTGTCAACTCGATCGACTTCGCACAGACTGACTGGCTAGACGAGGCACACACTCGATACTAACTATCTCGCACTCGACGAGGCACACTAACTGACTGCGGACCAGCAAGGTTTATATAGCTTTCGGCTAATGTTCGAGAACATTCTGGGCTAAACCGGTAAGAATTCGTTCCAAAACGTTCTCCATCCGTCCATGGCATATCGCCAATTTTGTCGCCAAATGGGCGATTTCTCGCCAAATGCGGCAATCTTGCCTTCCCTTGCCATTTTATGGCAACCCTAAAACTGGCTTTCTGGGGAAGCTACCTTACCGCGCCTTGACATTTCGTAACACTGTTTTCCTCAGAAAATCCTTCACTAAGGTATCCTTTAATTTAGATATATTCCCTCCTGTGCTCTGCCGTATTCAAATATGCAAGTAAAATTATGAATCATATTAGCATCCTATTATAAATTACTCATTTTTATTTAACAATTTTTGGAACAAAATTTTACTTTTACGTTTATGTAGTTTTCTCTTATGAATATTTGATAAAATTTGTATTTTAAGTGACTTCTTAAAATCAAATTTCGACGTGCAAAAGAAGTAGAGACAATTTATGTATTTCCAACAGCTTGAATCAACTTCAAAATAGACGTATTAAATGATATTTATGGTGCATTCTGAAGCGTTCACACGAGCGCTTTGCTAGGCAAAAAAGTGGCATTAGCAGCCTTTTTTTTTTTTTTTTTTTGTTAACTAGACCTTGATAGGTCATGGTTTGGTTTGGTTTTTTACGAAGGCTATCTGCCTGAGGGATGGTTTCGTGAAAGACTTCTAACAGAAACTGACTCGCATCCACATTACACGTGGGTAAAATTATATAAATGCTCATGTAGTCAGCCCGTTTCACGGTATTTGAACCCAGGTCGAACTACGAGCGTTAGGTGACATTACCGCTCAGCCGCTAGTGAGCAGATATGTCGTGCAAACTGGGTATAATGATTTTTCTAAATATTTTAACTGCTTAAATTTATACCAACCTGGTAGAAGAACTGACTAATTATAGAAATTCAAATACGAACTGCCATTCGGCCGACAATTTTTCTGAGTCAGTTGTCCATTCATTCATGTTTTGTGCATTTTCAATCATACGCAACTTTATCTTGCTTGATTGGCTACGACATAAGTTTATTGAACGTCCTCGTTATAGTAATATTACTGAGCATAATTTTAACAAAAAGATAAAAAACTATACAACGAATTATTCATTTCAATGTAGAAATTTAACATTAAAAATTTTATATTCTTTTAATATTCCTCTTTATTATTATTATTTATATTCAAACCTTTTTTTCCTTTTTTTTTTTTTTTTTTTTCCTTAGCCTTTCCAGCGGTGAGTCAGATGACGGCCAAATTCTACTTTCACAAGAAGATCGGGTGATAAAAGAAGAATCTCGTGAATCAGAAACAGAATGTGACAGAATATGTACGTAATAGCTTCTTTTTAATTGGCTGAAATACAATTACTTTTAAAATTAAACATCCAGGAGTTCTTTAATATCCGATTAAAATGCAACAAACTTTCGTTATTTAAAGTTTACCGAAACTGGAGAAAAGATTTTATATTGCGAGAGATGGACACTGCGGAAATTTGTCCATCAATCTGTTATAATTTTAACTTCAGGCTTCACTGTAACTCTGTTTGTAGGCTTGAAGCAACTCGAACTTTTTTATCACTGGCAATAGAATTGCATGTAGTGACTGTAGTCTTAAAGGGTAAAACCTTTGTGGTATAAGTAACCTTAAAGAAGATTTTTTGTTTCAAATTTCAAAGAAAGTTTGTGCTTCAGTGACCTCACGCCAAAAGATGTCCCTCTTAAATTAATGCAGATTATGTTAGAATTGGGATATGGAACAATGAGGTGCAGTTCAGGTTAACATTTGTAAAAGTAAATTTATGTATTCCCTTGTGTTTGCAGGTTTAGCACCTCTGCCGAAACCCGACTGAAGCATCGAGAGAGGTTACGATTTTACTTACACTCGTAAATGTCAGCACATTAATCATTACCTTATAAAATCATGACATAGTAACACTTTGTGCTGTATGTAACACATTGCGCACTATATAACACCGTGTGTAGCGCTTTCTGCGATGCATTATATAACACTTTGTGCTGTATGTAACATACTGTACACTAGGTAACACTTTATGCGGTATGTAACACATTGCACACTAGGTAACACTTTGTGCGATGCATTATGTAACACTTTGTGTAGTATGTATTAAATGAAACTGTAAATTATTATGTATTATGTATAGCAGATTCGTACTGTGCCCAAAAGCTTTGAAATTCACATATGTAGCCTTTAAATTTATTTATGGTCAATTTCGGAACTTTAGCCCATTTATATTTTCTACTGTATCTATACAGTAGAAGAATTAGATGGTATCTAATTTAATTTAACACTCTTTCTATTTCTAAATATTCTATTAATCTTTGATTTGCCCAATGTAATTTTATTTTTATATTCCAAGCTATCCTGTATATCTGTTTATGAAAGATTCAATTTGAGTGTTTAATATTAATATATCTTTTTCATTTTCATTTAAGATGGATGAGATTATCTTCTAATAAACCAAATTTAATATTATCAGATTCTATTTCCCTTTCCATTTTGGTTATCAGTCTCGTAATGGATGCTCTTAGCATTCCTCCCTTCTTTTTTAGTGCTTTTAACTTATCAATCTTAATAATCAATATTAAATCACTAATCGAACAATAAGAAATACTGAAATCCTTATCTATCTAAAGATCACTTATTTCAGGACGTGGGCACCATTTTGAGTTATTATCTGAGTTTCTATTTTGTGTTTTCTTATTTTTACCTTCAACATTTAACAATATTGGATAAGAAAATCTGCGTACCTTTCCTTGATGAAATCCAGAGGATACTTTGAATTTTTCCCATTTTATAACACGGAAAATTTTATTTACAACTATTTAGAATTCGCTTTCATACAAAAGAGTATTCATCTTATTTTATATCGTTGCCTCCACGTCACAATCAAATAATCAGCAAAGCTGTAAGAAAAATAACAAACATAAAATAAAAAAAAAGCTACGCCCTCTCGTGGCTAGCAACATAAAACTGTAGCAGACACATTGTGCAGTTGTAACACTCTGATAATGAAATCCAAAAATACTCAATGTTGACATTGAGTGAGTGACTATGGGCTTGTTTTATCTCCAAGAAACAGTGATATCCTCCTACAGAAGTTTCAGTTGTTGAGGTGAGCAGATATTGAGTTATTGTTTGATTCTAACAATTATGGCTGCTCGGAATGTAAGGGATGGATTAATTATCAATGGGTATACTCCCTTTCACATGCCTTATCAAACTAAAAGTTTACAAATTACTGCACATAGAACCTCTCAAAAGTGCAGGAATATATGATTTTCGGTTACGGAAAACCGCGCTCGTCCACATCAAGTAAACATGGCTGACGAATCCGACTCTCTAAATTTGAAAGAAGTAGTATTGGTTCCTAACGAGTCACATCCGATCTCCATTTAAGGGCCAAATGGAACCAACCTTGACGGAGCGACTAGTATAGTAAAAGACGGTCCCTTCTCACCAAAAAAAAAAAAAAAAAAAAAAAAAAAAAAAAAAAAAAAAAAAAAAAAAAAAAAAAAAAAAAAAAAAAAAAAAAAAAAAAAAAAAAAAAAAAAAAAAAAAAAAAAAAAAAAAAAAAAAAAAAAAAAAAATTCTTTTATCCTTCTCGAGAGTGAAAGGTATCCCCCGATATTCGGAGGAAACCACACACCCATTTCTTACCTCAGTTTTCGTTCGATCTCTCAAATAAAAATGTCCTGAAATAATTACACATTAAAAATTATATAAATACTTTTATTAATTAAAATTATAGCGCAATGTATTTCTGCAGCTTATAATATCGGCTTCGTTAAAAAAAGGGGGGAGGAAAGAGATTACGGTAGCCTTGCCTACTTTGCCTTGCCTACTTTGCCATAATCAAATAAATTAAGCTGTACATAAGACAGAAAATCTATGACTCAAACTTTCCTGCGATTAATTTCATAATTAACAGTTTAATTACGAAATCAACCGCAGGAATTTGAGAATAATCTAAAACTTTAAGCAAATAACCAGAACTCGTAAAAAGAAAAGTATAACAAGAGTTACCCACTTACATGCCTTCGCCATGTTGGACGAAGGCATCAACAACATACAGGGCAAAACAGCTTTTCTTCCGAGGCTATAGAATGAAACTCCGCTACTCGAAGCTAAGGCTAGCAAATGTCCTAACCAGGAGAAGCCATAGGCGGTTTTTTGATTCGAAAAGCAGTGAGAATTGTTATCATTCTTTTGAAACATTAAATTCTCACTCAAAAAAATTAATATGAAAGGCAGAGATAAAACAGTAGTCTTCTAGTATCTTTAACTGAGCCTTTCAGAGAATTGGCGGGATTATGTTGGAGAAGCTGTTAAACGTCTAGAAATCCTAGTGTGCTGAAAACTATGTTAGTAGAAGAAGGAACTTCCTTCGAAAATCTTTATCTAACCAAATTATGGATATCGTGAAATTGCGTTGGGATAGGCGAATACAAGATAAGAGAAATCGCATTCCTTCTTCCTGTAAATTATCTACCTTTACTTCCGAAGTATCACACTTTATAAAATTTCGTTTTTCCTTACCCAGCTTTATTTTCTTTGTAATGTAGTTTGCTGTTGCTACGTTTTTATATTCAGATCCTAAATTTGTATTTATGTGTTAAGATGTTATTGTTGTTATTGTTGCTATCTTGTGCATGTGTTTCATTGAAGAATGGTTGCCGGAGACTCGAAGAGGTTAGACGTTTTCTTCCACAAAAGTTATGAGGGAGGGCCCGCTGGGAGAGATTTGATGGCCGCTCAGTCTCTTTCCCCTACTACCAAACCACACGAGAGGACTATTGGCTGGCCATATATTTAGAGTGCCCCCATAGCGCAAACCACTATGTATTTAGAAACATCCATGCCTTCTCCGGGACTCGAAAGCGGGTTCTCGGTACTGCAGTAGGCTCCCCTAACCATTAACCATTTTGTGTTCTCCTGCCCACACACAGTACTTAACAGCGGGAAGCAACCAGGGGCTAAATTCTGGCCAAATTGGTTCCAGAATCTAAAAAGTAACAGAGTCGCCTAGCTGAAAACAATAATTGACTACTGTACTAGCATTACTTTCTGACGTGAAGAGTAAGGATTTTAGATATAGAAGCCAATTTAATTTCCAAAGTGCAAAATTGGGGTCGGATTTAACACACAAGGTTCTAACAAACCGCCAATTTTTTCATTACACCTTCTTTTTCGTAACCACCTCCCCCCACCCCAACCACCCCCCAGGGGAGAGGAGACTAGAGGAGACATAAAGGCCGAGAAAGGGGGGACAGGCCGGGCGGCTAAGGGTCAATTCCCCGGTTTAGGAGGGGACTACCAATCCGCTCGGTTTCATCCTAGGCGACGGACTATCCCAAGGGAGGGGAGCGGCGGTTTTATATGAAAAGGGGGTCCGGGGCCGGGTTTTATGACTGTAGAAAATAATTTAAAAAATATGGTAAAGGTAATTTATATAAAAGTTGTGACAGTGGAACTATAACTTATGGACCCTAAAGGACACAAAATTGAGACTTAAAAAAAATCTAAGCGCAAACCCCGAATTTTTGGAGCCCGGGAGAGAGAGAGAAAGAGCAACATGAGGGACATGGGGGGCCAGGTGATGGTGAAAACGGGGAAGCGGGGGTGGGAGGGGAAAGGAAGGGGGCAGCGCTGAAAGGGTGAGTCTCTATTGCGGGTGAGGATGGCGACAGGAGGGGCTTGTGAGTGAGGTGCGATAGAGGGAGGAGGTAAGGAGGATGGATCTGAAAGACAAAAGGGTTTAAAATTTCGGCATTAGAAAATTTTTTTTGTTGAAAATTTGTAAAAAAAATAAATTGCTTGTTTTTATGCACTTTGATGTGATGCAACCCAGCTGAACCCCCCATACTTGTTAAAATATGGCTAAAAAGCTTTTTAACTTGATTTAAAGTCAATATTATTTCACTACACAAACCATGCCCTAGCCACAAAATATCAACACCCTGACACCATGCCTGACTAACACCTCGAACCTACCCTACAACTGCTGCATCAACGCGACCATACAACACAAAAAACTACAGCACTACTAATCCACTTAAACACCAACGAAGATCAGCCCCTCCATCCCAGCCCCGACCCAAACCCCCCCCCCTCCACCCACACACCCCCCACCCCCCCCCCCCTAACGCCACCCCAACCACCGCCCCCCCCCCCCCAACCCCCCACCACGCCACCACCCTAACGCCACACCCGACACACCCCAACACCCTCCAAGAACCAACAGCCCAGCCGACCACCACAACCCACCACAACGACCAAAACCCCCCTCCACCATGCAACGTCCCAACAAACACTACATAGCCTACCCACAACTCTTCGCCCCCACCCCACACCCACCACCCCCAACCCCACCCACCACCACCCCACCACCCCCCCCCCCCCCCCCCCCCCCCCCCGCCCCCCTATACTGTCCCCCCCACATCAATACCCCCCCCCCCACCCGACACACCCCTCTCCCAACCGCCCTACCCACACCACACCCTCCCACCCACCGCCCATCAGCCCACAAACAACCCCACCCCCCACGCCGCCCCTTACCATCCACTCTGACCACATACCAGCAACGCCAACTACCACACACCCATACCAAAAACGCCACCACCACCCCTCTCCCTGACGATCCCACACCAGCGAGCGCCCACCACACCGAACCCTCCCCTGAGCCACCGCGGCAATACTGAACCCCATGTCCCCCCCCACCACCCACCCCCCAGCATCCCCCACCACCCTACTTTTTGGTACAATCCACCCCCACCAGGACCACTTCACCCCGCCTACAACCATCACCGCACCCCATATTTTTGCTTCCACACCGCGAAGAAATGCGTTTTTCTTCCCCCTCCCCCCCACGTCTCCCGACCCTACCCCCACACACCCCACCCCACCTTCCTCCCTTTACCCGAACACTCACTGAATTCGAACACCACACTCAACCCCACGATATACCTCCATTTGCCCCACTTTCACCCAACCACCACCCTCTTGCGACCCCCACTCCCCATCTCTCCCCCCCTCACCCCACCAAACACCACCACCCCCCCCCCGCCCGCCCCCACCCCCGACCCACTTTCACCACCTTTTTTGGCATACCTAAATTTTAGTTTGCTCTAAACGGGACAGCTTGGAACATAGTTTATCCTCCCCTTCACAAACGTGTGAAAATATTCCGACCCGCAACAAAATATTTGTTAAACCAGACGCGCAAATTTCTCTTGTGCTCTCTCTAGTCTTGTCCTCTGAAATAACAAAGAATTAAAAAAATTTTCCAATAAAAAAGCATGCTTTCAACCAGCAGTTTTTGTATTACAACTATAAGGTGGACCTTAAGTACATTCCTTTAAGAGAGCTTTCCCTTTGTTGACTACACACTTCACAAAGGGAATAAGAGTGACTCCCGAATGACAAATGTCATCATCACCTCTTTCATTTTCTACATTCTGGATTTTGGAAAAGAAGCAAAGGTGTCTTTTGGGGCTAGCATGCACTTTTAACCCCACAAGTGTAAAGTTTTGACCCCAGACTGGCAATTTTGAAACGATGAGTCTATCCCTTGGAAAGGATAATGCTGAATAAAAATTTTGCTAAACAGACGAATGAACTTGGCTGAGACACAAAGCTAATGAATTATATACTTGATTCAATCCTACGCAGAGTCAGTAAACTCCCAATTCTCATGAACGTAATATTGATCCTAAACGACTTTAAGTTAATCATGAAAAAAAAATTATAATAATAATAATAAAGAACTTCTGCACGTCACAGAGTAGAAAAGGAAAGATGGTGCGCCTCATTGGTTTGGTACCCTCAGTGTGGGCGCCGGTATATATAATACCGTTTTAAAATCGTATAAATAATCTTCTGTAATATTACTTCTGAAATGAAGTACGTAAATTAGAAAATCAGCATGTGTACTCATTATTTGAGATTTTTAATTTTCCTTCCCTCCAAGAATTTATCATCTTTCCACATGATACTTGGAACGAGGTAAATTAATTTCATAATGTAAAATATGAGCATTTATAGGTGTTTGCCATTTAGAACGAAAGAAAATACTAGACTTACTATTATAGCTTTAATAATAAAAGCTTTTTTCGGAGGTTAAAAAATGAAAACAAGGGTATATATTAGATACTGGTGCTTTTCAAGGGAGTGCAAACTTGGTCGTATTAACCACATTAGGTTCTAACAACGCCATTTCTAAGCCGTCTCTAGAATAGGCATCGCCTTCAGTAGGTATTAATTCTTCTTGAACTGGCACATATTAACCTGAAGAAGATATTGGGTCTGCAAAGCATAGCAGTATGCACGTTAGAACTAATTGCTAGTCAAATGTCAACAACAGGTATGTAATAGTATGTTCAATGTGTAATTTTGTATTTATGCAGTGCCAGGTTTTCATACACAAATTTTGTACTGTATCTGAATGCTGTACTGTATCTGTACATGTTTATATCTTTTATTTATGGTACCTAATTTATACTAAGGATCACGCGTATCTCAATGGCATGCTTCATGTAAACGTTAACTATCATGATAACGTATATGTATAGATGTATATATGAATATGCGTCAGAGTATGTATACTTTTGTTTGTTTCGGAATATATATGTGTATAAGTGTGTATATATTTGTATCTGAGTTGGTTTTCATATGTATATACATATATTTTGATTGCACTCTTTTCAAGTGCCTTGTATGCACACGTATATTTCTTTTTTGCGTTTTATAAATGCCGTCTGCTCTGCCGCGGCGGCCCAGAGCTGCGGCCTGGCAGATAGTGGCTAACTCCCGTCGGGTTGGTAACCAATTCTGCATGGATATATCTATACCTGGGTCGGAAGCCAACTCAGCGGTTTACCTCCCCTAACCATTATACCCTCTGGACGGCAAGATACTATTTATGAAATAAATGCATTCTAATTTAATCAATAGCTTTAGAGGAATCAATACTTTTATAAATGCAAAAATAATTTAGGACACCCATGTAATAACATATAATAGTACTGTAATAAAGAAAAGGGGAAAGTCTTAGATGTTTGAATAAAACTGTACGCGTACATATGTACAGTGTATTTGCCAGTGTGTGAGTATATTCCAGCTTTGCCGACACATCTATGTTTACAATAGTTGAGATGTATTAAATAATATTTAATCTATTTCTCACATATCTTCCATATAATTTAATTTATGCAAAATTTTTGGAGTCATTTCTAACTGACCTTTTAGATCAGATGACCAAAAAGTTTTAAAATGACATTTTATGTGCGTCTTTATATCAGTTGTAAAACCTGAAATTTTTTATCTTTTGTATTCCTTTTTAGTAATACGATCTATTTTGATTATTTTCTTAAATTTTATTTCCCATAGGGAAATCTCTCCAAGACTGTAAATATGAAGCAAACAAGAGGTGGGCTGAACATGCCGTGTCTATTTTAACTTAATGTACAGATTTGTCAGGTTAAGGTAAGAAAAATATATTTGTCATTATTAATCATATTTAGTGCATTATTTTTATTGCATTTTTAATGCTTAATATTTTATTACACATTTCTGCTCTTCACATTGCTGAAATTGATTTTAATTTTTGTGTGTGCTATCAAAATTGTATGTGCGATATTAAAACTTTCTGTCTTCTGCTTTTGTTTCTATAAATGTACCTGATAACATAATTAAAATAATTCTCTAAAATTTTTGAGGTATGCGCAAACGATAAGTGGTATAAAATAATTAAAGGTTAGATTTCAAAATGTGAACTATTTTAGGCAAGAAGACGTTTTTTTACTGGCTAATTAATTGGAAGTAGTTTAGCGCAGAATAAATTTTAAATAGAAGAAAAAATGGTGTGGACTTGAGAACATTATCCCGCTATGATTTTAAAATGGGATTAATCAAGAAGAATGTGTTGAATGTTTACAATTAACATTTGGAAATGAGCTCGTGCTACTGTGTTCAGGGGACTTACAGAATTTTACAGAGTTCACATCTCTCTTCACGATGAAGAACACACAGGAAAGCCGTTCTCACCAGTAATCTTGGATAAAGTGTCTGTCATATAGAAAATATTAATCGATGATAACCACTCCCCTCACCAAATGGTACAGAAGGCACTTCACATTGGATTCGCCGCCATGCGTAAAATTATTGAAGAAGAAATGCATTTGAAAAAACCTAGTTTGCCGTTGGGTTCCCCATAATTTAAATGAGCACCAAAAAGAGGAGTGTGTCAAAATCAATAACGAAATCCTTAAATTACTTAAAGATGGTGGCCACTGCATTATTTCTAAAATCGTAACTGGTGATGAAAAGTACATACTATTTTTTGACATTCCAACACGTTAAGAAAGTAAAGTACGGGTCTTTGATGATGATTCCACTCCCACAGTGTTGAAAAGACAAAGTGCCATGCAAAGTAATGCATGCCGTTTTCTTCAGAATTACAAGACTGGTCAGAATTACAAGACTGGAATTACAAGTCATCGAGTTGGAAGAACAGAAGACACTCACAGGTAACTAGTACACCATTAAGTGTCTTCCAGAAATTCTTCAAGAAGTGAATGTTAGAGGACTCATACTCGACCATGAAAATGCATCTTCTCATAAAGCACGATTGACAGCTGAGTTTCTTAAACACAAACTCATCAGAGTGATACAGCATCGACCTTATTTCTTGAACACAAACACATCAAAGGGATAGAACATACACGCTATTTACCCGATCTAGCAATGTGTGACTTTTGGCTACTTTTCAATCTAAAGAAGAACTTACACGGACGTCGTTTTCATTCCTAAGACAAGGTTGATGAGGAAAATGAATAAATGAATTTTTGGTACTTTTCCATTTCCCCGGCGCAAATCTCGCCAAGCAAACTTTATTGGCGACAACATACAGCACACACATAAAAAGTGTTAACAAATGTTAGTTCTAAGATTTTTTTTTCTTTCTTTCTTTTCTTTTTTTTTTTTTTTTTTTTTTTTTTTTTTTTTGAAGCTAAACTTTTTAATATCGTTTAAAAATTTTGTAAAAAGCAATAAAAAGATAATAAATTAAAAAGACAGAATTTAGAATTTTCTAGCTTTATGGTTCACTTCTGATTCCCGGTTCATATCAAATGATCCCAAGTGATCTCATCTCACGTAAACTGCCTACAAAATTTGATTATATCAGTAATTATCCACATTAATTTCAAGTTAAATCTTGATTTGGAATAAGTTTAAATGCAAGAATTATTTCAATTAGTACGAATAGCTTACTCAGAAATTATGTCAAACCGCATGCTTTATTTCGGTAGTGCATTCTCATTAGAACTGAGGAATTTAACCCTTGACATTTCTTTTCCTGTATTTTCGCCTTCGGGTGAGCGGTGTGATTACATCCTAATTGACTTAATTACCGCGAATGGCCTTAGGACGTAAAATTGAACTATCTGGTAAAAATTATATCTAATTATATGCCAGTATTGCAAGAAACAATCAATCTGATAAGAAATGACTGCGACGTTTTCTGAAAATGAGGCATAAAAGATTACCAGCGAGGATATTCCGTTTGGAATCAGTTGTACCATTATTATCGACTTTATCGCTTGCGCCGGCAAAACGGAAAAGTACCGAATTTGTTATCGATTCCAAGAACTGAATGAACAAGAAATGAACTTGAGACATTTAATCTTTGGAAATTTTGCCTACAGAAGTGCATTCATGCTCGAGAAGACTACTTTGACCACTCCTAAATTTCGCAGGTAAAATTTTAAAAATTTATGTGTATCTCAAAAATTTCCTACTGACCCTTGTATAAACAGGTTGATATAAATAAGATGAAAATACACTTAAAATGTATAGAGAAATTTCCGTTTTATTAGTTTTATTTTTACTTCTATATGAAAGTTTCTATAGATGAAACTAAATTAATTTATAATTCATAAGAGAAAATTATAAAGACAATAATTCACAGCTCACCTAAGAGACCTCTTAAATACGTACATATATAACAACATTCCAGTCTCGAAACAGAAAATTTGCTACTCTCTTTCTTTCACATGTCAGCAAAAGAATAAGTTTCATATATTGATCTGAGGCGTCTTTCAATGAGAAGTACTTGATTGTAACTTTTCCAAAATCCGAAAGTATATCAAAGTGAACATATTTCCCATTTTTTTCTCCCAAACTGATATTTTTTACTCTTGTTACGCATTAGAAGGTAATATTAGGCTTAATATCTTCAAAAATTTCTATTGATTTGAAGCATAATATAGGTTTTATAGGTTTTTATCAAACTAGGTAATATTTCTTGCCATTGAGTTATATGTGGGATCAGATAATTTTTTTTTAAATTTTTTATTTATTTATTTATTTATTTTTTATTTTTTAATTTTATTTTTAGTGGAACATAGTTGATCACTGCAATCAAGCTTTCGGAAAATTTTCGCTTCGAGACTGGAAAACTTTTTAATATTTTTACATATAAAAATTTAATAAATTCAACAAAAAATTTCTGAAATCTTCCAGATTTAACATAATGCCCAAACCGTCTTTTTTTTAACCTTTTGCGTGTTACCTTTATTTATTAAGTGTTCTTTGCATTTAAAGCATAAAATTCAATTCAACAGCAACATCACGAAATAATTTAAAAACAGCATATCTTTAGAATTTCCGATACACAGTCTTGTGTGCTGGAATTTTTTTTTTTTTTTTTTTTTTCTGTACAGTGTTGCCATTGCTCGCTTTGAAATCGTTGACTTTCAATAAAGATTCATTAAAGCTTTACAAAAGATGAAATAGATAATGAAATTAACTCCAAATTCCACATTTGTGCTTCCAGATGACCATAATCGGTGGAAAATTGCGTTATTTAAAATTGGATGGCTCTAGGCACCGTTGTTTTATCACAATGCTGGAAACATATATACATATATGCAGAATCTTCATTATTTACTTTATTTAAATATAACACAGGGAGATAATATTTAATGGCAACAATTTGAAAAGTAAACCGACATTTAAAGTTTTCAACGCAAAATGCGGAAACGAAATTAATAGCCCTTCTGGGCTAATAAATTATTAATATCAATTTTTCAGCTGTGATAAAAATCGCCTTTATTAATATATTATTTTATAAATTAAATAATGAAGAATCTGCATAAATGTATATATGTTTCCCTCATTGTGATAAAACAACGGTACCTAGAGCGCCATCAAATTTTAAATAACATAATTTTTCACCGATTATGGACATCTGGATGCCCTAATGCGGAATTTGAAATTTGTTTTATGAAAGAAAACTTGACTCATTTTAAAAAACAGTTTCCCATTAATCACAATTTGTCCATTGTTATGTTTTAATTAATGCAAAAGAAGTCGAAACTGAACAGTGTTTCTCGATCCCAATAAAATATAGTGACACATTAAAGATTGAAAAAGCATATATTAACAAGGGAATGATTAAAAACAGGAACTGACTTCATGGAAATAATTACATTACTTTTATTAGAAAATTTCAAAGAAATACATTATATAATATTCATCATGAAATTATTGACACCTACTTATTACAAGTTAAAAAATATATTGTAGATTCTTAAAACAATCTTAAATACGATGCTTAGGACATTTAAAAGCAGATTACTTATATAATGTGAAGGTAACAAAAAAGGAAAATTTACATTTATAGAATTGAATATCATTTGCAAAGGATCGTCACATGTTCTGCATGCTTAAACATAAGCTATTCTAAAAATAGTGCCGCCATCTATTCTTTGAAATATCAACTAAATCTTCCAAGAGGGTACACTTAAGCGTGAAGAACAAATCAATGAATTATATTGTATACGATTTTTTCATGAATCTTTATAATTATTTTTGAATTATGATGTAAATACTGAAAAAAAATATCATCTTTTTTCTAGAAATAATGTTGAAGATATTCAGAATTCTGGAATTTATCGTCCTTACTGTGTGTGAAATACTTCTAAAGAATTCGATATCGTGCATAAAGAAAAGAACAGCGAAAAATGTAAATTTATCTTTGTATCAATATTTATTGCAATATATGTTGCCAGCTTATCAAAGGCACATATCTGTTTGTAAATAAAGGCTTGGATATGTTTCCTGTTTCATCGCAGATTATTTACTTTTTTAATGAATTCACCGAACATGTTCAGCTAAAGACAAATTTCCCAAAGGCTTTTTGTGTAATGGCAAACAGAAAAAAAGTATATTTTAACTATATAACCGCGCTAATTTGTCTATATATAAAACCGCGAAGGCAGTCATTTTGACCGTTTAACAGTTCATTTTATAAAATTTTACAAAGATTATCTCATATGATCTACTAAAAACAAATATACAAGATGCAGTGCTATTATTGCATTGTAAATTACTTCCATGATGCGAAAACTGTAAAATAATATTTATCAGCTTGTGGGAAAGTATGCTCACGTACACTTCGCAAAGGAAATATATGGGGCAGT